GAGCTCAGAAGGTGCTTTAATGGAGAAATTAGAGCTATAATCCGGCGACGAATTAAGAAAAACCCTAAGAAAAAATATGCTAATGAGGGGAATGGTTAACCCTAAAGGGTAAGTGTTTGTGTTTGTTTGTGAATCTCACCATTGAAGATGATTGCAAGCTTTTGCAAGCTTCTTTGTGCATCCCTTTTTCTTGAACAGTGAACACTAAAACTTTGGTAATAAAGGCAGCATAGGAAGCCGTTACATAATAGTAATATGTATCTTACAAATATACCCCCATTTTTCCATACGAATTTACAAAAATACCCCTTGATAAACACTACTTATTTATCAAGGAGATAAACTTGAAGTGAAGTGAAGTGAAGGTGATTTTATCTTCCAATATTTGGTTGGTGAAAGGAAGGGAAGGAAATAGAAAGAAAGTTTATGATGTATAATTTCTCTTTTTATCTTTTCAGTCGAATTCCTCCAATTTCGAGAGGAAAGAAAAGCTAAAATTTTGTAAAGGGACTTTCCTCCCACTTTCATTCATTTCCTTTAAATTCTCATGCCATTTATTCAACTAAACATGGGACATGATTAAAACCATTCCTTACATAATTAAAATTTTGTATGAGATCGCAGTGGTTGTTAAATTTTCAAATATGTTCAAGTATATTAGATGAAAATTATCCTCACGACTACAACAAATTGTTAAGCGGTCTCTCCGAAAAGCACGGTGAAACCTTTATTTAATTATATTTTATGTATTTGTTAAATATAGATTTCATTTTTAGATGTCGTATGACATTTTATTAATGAATTATTACTAGGGCAGGGATGGATCGAATCTCCCAATTGACCCGACCTACTGTCATCCCTATCCGGTGTACGCGGATGAGACATTCGGGTGTATGATGACACCTGGGTCGTATGATGAGATTTTAAAAAAACATTTGGGATACTACATATAAAACTTGAAAATTTAAGCTCAACAAAGAACGTGACTCGGCTTAAGTTCAAGTGAAAGTCTAAATGAGCTAGCTTGAGCATCTCAGAGCTCAATCTCATCTTGATCAATTGTCAATGTCACCCTTTTGGCCCTTAGGAGTTAGGACATGGGAAGTGGTGCTAAAGTGTCTAAACCAGAAACAATCAAACACTAGCTAGAGCTGTTAAAAGCTGACCCGACCTGAAAAATTTACATAAACCCGATTATTAACCCACCTGTTTGAACTTGGAAAAATGGTGACCCGAACCCGATATGGTCCGACCTGAAACCAACCCTAGACCCGAGTTAACCCGAGTATTTGAGACCCGAACCCGAACATTAACCAACCTGGTGGAGATGACCCGACCTGAATATAACCCGTAAATTATTGACCTGAACCGAACCCGACCTAAACCGAGATTGACCCAAACCCGTTTTAACCCGTCAAAACCCGAATTTAACCCGACCTGTTACTAACCTGACCCGAATTCAACCCGACCTATTACTAACCCAACCCAAATTTAACCCGATTTGTTACTAACCCGACCCGAATTCTAACCCGATCTGTTACTAACCCAATCCAAAATCAACACGACATGTTATTAACCTACCCAAATTTAACCCGAATTGTTCCTAACCTATTTCGAACTCAACCTAACCTGTTATTGAACTAAACCAATTTCAAATCACCTTAGATTCGATTTAGACCACCTTATTAATATATATTTACTGTAGACACCTGATTGTGTCTCCCCAAAAAACCAAACCCAGTGATGAGTACCTTTCATGTCTTTGATTATCGAGTTAGGTGAAGAGTTGAAGAGTCTTGTGAATTTCCCTTTAGTCTTGACCATATTTCTAAACTTTCCTAAAATGTTTTAATCCATAATCATTTATTTCGTGTCTTTAAACCCAAAATAGTTCATTTCATGTCTTTGGAAATCATTCATTTTGAGTCATCTTTATAAAATGTCCAAACCTGACTATTTTGGTCCATAATATGGGTCCAATTATTAAGTAAATAAGATGGGGTTTGAAAAGAGATTTCCAACGATATATTATACGCCAAAATTCGAGTTATAACGAGGAAGTTATGGCCAAAATACTAAACCAAGCCCAAGCCGAGCCTTACCTACGACCCAATGATCATGTGGAGGGTCCATTAACCATAAACATCATTCCTAAATCCCTTAGGATTTATTATTAGCTTCTAGAATCTTCTAGAAGGTTCTAATTTATCCAGTTTTTGAAAAGATAAAAATTTAAGAATTTTATATATCTGGCAAAACACTTCTTTTTTAATGATTTTAATTCTGATAAAATTAGAATACGTACGGAAACATGTTTAACCCAATTTGATTGGGAGTCGGATTCCGTACGGATTCTATCTTTTGAAAAATATCGCTGAGCGATAGAAATATCGCGTCGCGACGGAAAGCAGTTTTACTACGAGTCGGATTCTGACTCTTTTCTGATCTTTCGACCCTCTTTTTTCTTATAAATAGAGGTAGTTTTCCTCCGTTTACGATCATCAACAAGCTTGATCACCAACAATCATCATCTTAATCCCTATCTAAGCTATAAGCTTTTCTCTCTCTCTCTCTCTCTCTCTTTCTTAGCCTTAGCCTAAACACACCCCAACACCATACTTCCTTCACGAGCTTCGAATACTCCAAGCCTTTCTCGTAGTTGCCTTCGACCTCGACGTGAAAGGTTGATAGTTATGAGGGTTTGGTCCCAAATCTATATTTCAATTATTTGGTTATTTATTGGTTTGATTTATCTTTCTTGAAGTTACTAACGTGCGTATTATTTTGATAGAAAGAGATACAAGGCATCAAAGTGAGTATTATTTTAATTCCTAGTATTATGTTAGGATGCTTTTATGATTTTTAATATCATGTTAGGATGCTTTTATGATTTCTAGTATCATGTTAGGATGTTGATTTTAATTCCTAGTATCATGTTAGGGTGTTACTTTAATATTCCTACTGTCATGTTGGTTTCTAGTATCATGTTTAGGCTAATGCTTTGATCATGATTGTTATTAGTGACATGTTAGGGTTTGTTATTAATCTGTTTAGTATCATGCCTAGGGTCTTGCTATTAATCATGTTTTGATAAGATTGTGATTATATTGATGATGATTTGTTGTGTCAATTATAATTATTACATTGCTTGATTATTTATACATCATTGTTATTGTTTGATCACGTCTTTCTTGCAGGTTTAAAGGGAATTTGTACTTGAAATCACGCCTAATAAGATAATTAATAATTGATTTAGATAATTATGATTTTAATTCAAATGATCGCCAATAATATTTGTGCATTAATAATCAACCAATATAGATTAAACAGGTTTAGGATTAACTTGTTGTATGTATGTTGATCGGAAAGCGCACATGAATATCATAAGAATTAAGTAGAGACCAATTTAGGGCAGGTTCAATCTCTTTTAGGTTGGATTCATACCATCATTTCCGAATATCCAGTCAAGGTTCTGGACCACTATGGAGTTAGCGATCTCCGTGATCGTGAATGAGGTGTAACCTTGACACCCGTGAACGATTTACAAGTTCCTAAAACTTGTTGGCGACTCTTTTATCTCTAGCTTCCTTCCCATTGGACGCCACCATGCTTAAAAGCATGATCACAGTGGGGCTCACAGTTTATGTTTGAAATATTCCTTACAGTTACGTACTTATTTCTAAATTATTTCTACTAAGAATATGATGTTCGCCACGCAAATAAGAATTTAAGATTATATTATATGAAATTAATGACATCTTGTGTGTGTTATTTGTGTAGTTGTGTGCTTGTGCAAATGAGTTACTATGAGAAGTTCAATAGCCAATAGTTCAATACGTACGACTCCTTATGTAAACTAATTATAGTTATTCGCTCATTTCTAAGTGTTAGAATATATTTAGCATATATTCCTTAAGTATTGTATATATCTTTATCATTGTAGATATTGACTAGCTAAATAAAGATATTACAATAATTAGAGAATATATGCTAAATATAAAGTCGTAACTTCATAAGGCTAAAACTACTCTATGTACTCGAACCCGATATGACCCAACCTGAAATCAACCCGAGACCCAAATTAACTCAATATTTGAGACCCGAACCCGAACATGACCCGAGTTGGAAATGACCCGACCTGATTATAACCCGCAAATTATTGACTTGAACCGAACCCGACACTAACCTGATAATGACCCGATCTGATTATAACCCGCAAATTATTGACTTGAACCGAACTTGCCTCGAACTTGAGAATGACCCCAACTCGTTTTAACCCATTAAAACCCGTATTAAACCCGGCCTATTATTCACCCGACCCGAATGTGACCCGACTTGTTATTGACCCGACCAAAACCCGATAAGATGTATGACCGACATGACCCAATCCGAACCCGACCCACATAGGTTACGACTAGGGCTGTACATCGGTCCAAAACCGGAATTGACTTGAATGGACTGGAACCTGAATCATTGATTTTTAAGGACTGGAGATCGGACCTGAATTAACGGGTCCGGTTCGGGTCCAGACTTGAAAAATCAGGTCCGCCCGGGTTTGGACCTGAATAGACCTGATTATTGATTTGTTTCTTTTTTTTTCATTTTTTTTAAAATAAAAAACCTGCTAGACCTGTTTATGGACCTATTTAGACCTGTTAAATAAAAAAAAATAGCTTTATCGGTTTTAGGTTCGGACTTGAAAATTCTGGGTTTTACCCGAACCGGATTTGAAACCCGGAATCATGGATTTTGAAGGACCGGGTCCGGACCCGAATTCACCGGTCCGATCCAAACAGGTCTGATTCAAGTCGGTTTCAGATCCGGGCTAGTTTGTGCACACCTCTAGTTATGACATTAACTTGATCCGAGTTGACCTGCCCCAAACTCAACCCGTTTACCCGAATTGACAGCTCTATAGTAGTCTAGTACACTACCAAGAGCGTCGACAGCCAAGTGCCCAGCATAAATAAATAAAGTTATAAACATACAAATTTGCCCTCTAAAGTCTAAAATTGGATGCAGTAATACGTTCAAAATTGATTGCAACCACCAAACTTCCTAATTTCTCAATCTTTTCGAATTTTTAACTCCACTAAGTCGCAGCGATATACGCTGCTTATAATCAAATGGATTGCAAAACCTTACAACAAAGGTTTGATACTTTGATTTCCCTGTATTCATCTTTTGATTTTTTTTTTCTTCTTCCAATTGATTTTGTCTTAATTCACTCTAATTTGCCTTTTTAATTGGTCAGTATAATTGATTTTGATAATTTTTATTTTCATCTAATTTCAATTTCATTTTCATTATCATTTTTTGCTGCATGAATTTTATTTTTCCAGACTTTTGTATTATTTTCCACATCAAACTAAGCCCAATTCCCAAAATTTTGACTAAATATGTTTTCCAGCTTGAAAATTATGTTCAATCTTTGCACCTTTAAAGAAAATGGTTGATTTATGTTTGTTGTTGTTGTTGTTGTTGTTGTTAATGTGTGAAACCCTAATATGTTAGTTTCTTAATTATGTTGTTATTTTGATAACAGGTATATTGACGCTTGTAAGAGGCATGGAATTTTACCATACAAAAGCATAATCTTTATGGTATAGCTCTTTTGCTCTACTGCTTATTATGAATTTATCCTACTTTGTGTGGCAATTTCGCTTTTTCACAAACGTGAATGAGCTCTCTTTAGCTCATATTAAGGCTATTGACTTTTTAATTTCGCAAATTTACTGTAAAACTCGGTAACCTATCCAACAACTATCTATTTCGTTCTTCGTATATAGTATGAGTATCATATTGCTTTAGCCACAATGTTGTAATCGGAGATTGAGTTCTTTATTTTGCTTTTTTCCATATACAATACTTCATCCCTTAATGTCTTTTTGTTTTTGTTTTCGGAGTTAAATAAATATGTGGAGATATTATGTGTCTGTTTGTTCCCCTTTCATACATATTTTGATCGTGATACGTACATTTTAAATTCAATTTTGATTTTCTTTCTATGGAAGGGATTAGACATTAGAGTTTGTTGGAACATCCCATGAACGAAATGGTGTTAATTTAGATGAGACTGAGGGAGTATATGTGTGTATTTGTGTGGTTGTCACTTTGTAAGATTGCATTTGATGCTAAGATTACGTATATGATACTCATTGCAAACATGCTACACGTGTTCTTTTCCATTGAGGTTATGGCATAAAAGTATGTTATACAATCAAAAGAATATGATACTAAATGAACATAGAAAGGATCTAATAGAACAACTATTATTGATATCTCTGTTATAACTTTTTGTCTCACTTAGAAGAATATAAAGAGTTTAACTTAATAAAGATAGGCCCCCCTTTTAAAACATGGACAAAAGGAGATTCCTTTGTAATAAAAACATAAAGAGTATGACGAGAGGCTAATTTAGTCATCAATGGATACCTGAAATCAACAAAAACCTACACACGCTACACTAACTAGTGCTAAGCTGAGAACAATAAATAAGATAATATTTGACATAAATGTATGGTTACCTAGATTTGTGTCCTCTCAAAAGTAAGTTGAGTTCCCTGGTCTTTGATATAAGCTGAAGCGAGTTGGTTGAAGTGCCCGGTCAATAGGCACTCGTAATTTCGTGATTTGCCTCTTGGTGCTTGAAGATGGAGTGCTTTCTTGGTTTTTCTTGCTCTGCAGTGCTTTCCATGTTACTGCTTTTTTCCCCCTTGACTTATTTCTAATCCGCTATCTACTTTCTTGCAGGGTAGTATGAAGAGTTCCCAAAATGAGACATGTATTCTCGAGTTTTCCTTGGACCATCTGAAGGATTGTGATTTTCTCCCTCTTTATGAGCTGTTCATGGACATTGATGACTCTCTCATTTATGAGGTTGATATCTATAACAAAACCTTATGTAGCATGAATGGAGGTTACCTATTGTCTCTATTGCGTGCATTGAACAAGAAGCTTCGTGCTGTTCACTTGAATGATTTGTCACTTGAAAGGGGTTTCTTAAGGTATGTGGTAGCTTGCAAGTCATGTCACGCTGGTTCTGTTTGTGAATGCAATGATTTTATCTTCAGTTTGACATTGTTTTTTAGATTTTTGTATTTAATGATTACTTATTATAAGCTCCAATGCCCCATAGAAAACCTATTCAATTACTTAGGGATATTAAAAGTCGATAACTAGAAAGATATTTGGAACATTAGCAGGATTGCATCAATAATTTAAATTCCAGGAAGTTGAGTTGTTTAAGGATTCAAAGATGGTTATATTTGACCCTTACCAAAAGCTTTACACCTAGTAAGCCTACCTTGTCCCTTTCTTTACTCTGATTGTACCACACCTTTGTTGCATTATTCCAAAAAATCTTAAGGCAAAGCTAAATGGTCTTTTATGTGTACTTACCTTCTAGGCTGAAAACATTTGCACCCAAAAAAAAAAAATCCCTTCTAGACTGAAAGGAACAAACCTTATTTCAAGGATGTATTAAATAGTACTATTGTTCTAATCTCTGAGGTTATTTGATTGTGGAGTTCAGGAAGACATTTTGAGGAAAAATGTCAGGGCTTACAGATTGATTTTCTTCATGTGCAAAGTTAGTGTCCTTAGCCGCACCAATGATACTGATTTTGCAATTCAATGACAAGTTGTAAATAAAGAGAGACCTTCAGGTTGCTTTGCATTAGACTATATGTGCTGCTATGCAGCAATGTTCAGGTTGATTGAATTTTTTGAGTATTTTTTAATTAGACAATGTATTTTATTAACAGCTGAAAAATTCAGAGAAAGAGGACAAGCTGTTCTTCAATCATGAATTTTATTATAGATTACGCCAGTCACTATAAACCTTGCCAATCATATAGCTCTTGACCCAGCCATCTTGGCCCATAGAGTTGTGCAAATTGTTGTTTTCCTAAACCGTCGTTTTCTCATTAGGCTGCAGTAGAGGGCTTGAAAAACTCTTAATTGCCAAAGCTTGTCGAGGCTATCTTTGACATAGATATTTAGCTGTACAAAACTACTTCCTTATGATAAGTGTATAAAAAAGCTCACCTTTGGTGTGCCTAGGCACTAGTCATTTAGGGTAGATCGTTTTTTTTTTTTTTTTTTTTTTTTTTTTCCATTTCTCTCTAGTTGCATTCAAAGAGGCACACCCGAGGCGTACTTAGTTTTTTTAGTTGTTACCTCTCTTCAAAGGTGCAGCAGGACTTTTATGGCATTACCGCTTTAGTGCACCTTGATTATACATTGCTTACGATCACTCATGTTTTTTGTCCAATTGTTTGAGCCATTGTTGTAGTGTCTAAATAAGATTCTTAAGTCTTGCAAATACGAGTTTGTGTTAGATGTGAGATGGTGGTATATTAGTTTTGCGTATTCGTTTGTCAATCCATTTTAAGGTTAGGTTCGTTATCGATAAAAAAAAAAAAAAAAAAAAAAAAAAGCTGTTTGCCTGTGATTGGAGCTGTTAGGTTTGTTTGGTAGAATCTGTAGGAGTGGACACTGGCAATCTAAGGAGAAATTGATAAGAAAGTACTTATACTCTCTCTGTTGTATTTGGTTTGGGAAAATGACAAGGGGACCTTTACCTGTTGAATCAATCTGTATCAAGAGGTATATATGTGAGCATCTAGATGGTCTGCAGTGTTCTAATAATCGAATTATCTGATGTTCTTCATCTATTCTGATACTGCTGGCTTTCACATGCAGGGATTTACTGAAAAGGGGTTTAACATGCAAAGAGTTAAACCTGAGATCTTCGTACCTTAGGCAACTAAATGTCACTGGAAGTTATTTGCAACTTCAAACTCTTAACCTTGACTTTAATACTTCCTTAACTAGCTTCCAAGAAAGTTGTTTTTCTTGTATGCCAATTTTGAAACACCTCTCAGTGTGTGCAACAAGAGTTTCTAATCTTTGGACAACTGGGGCTGCTTTGTCAAAGCTTCCTTCTCTAACTGAACTTCGTTTTCAGAATTGCTTATGCTGTAATAATACTGGTCCTTGTCCTAAATCATCTGCTCAAAGAACGCAAGATAATAATTGGAATGGATATTATGATGATTTATATACAAGAGCATCATCAAGACACAATCTTCTTCTTAATCAGCCTCATTCATACTCAGAAGAGATGCTTCAGGATACATCTGTAATTGAAGATCCAAGTTTTAGTGAAAATTCTCACTGGCCAAGAGAACATTTCTTAGAAGACTATGAAGTTGATGCACCAAATTACTATGAAGCGCTTAGTTTTCCCGATTCTTTGTCCAATGCTCTTCACAACTTTGATCTTTTGATCAACAATGCGGTAAGTGACAACTTACACTATATATATGCCAGTATGTTGTTTGCCTATACTGGGTTAATGCAAAATTTACCTAATGTAAAGAGATTGCCAATCTGAAGTAGAACATCAGTTGATGGCAAGAAATTAAAGAGAAATTGGAAGTTTGATTAATATAACTGAGCCGAAAGGGTTACAAAAAAGGTGAGTTCAGGCTACTACTCTCCAATACAAGTGGCTTTAGGCTATTACTCTATAGGGCTCAGTTTATAATTTTTTGCTTGCCTTTCTCTACTGTCTAACTGTCCTTTTTAACATATTCACCAATTCCTAAAATGTTACCTAGTATGATCTATGATGACTTAATTACTACAATTTGTCTTCTCTAAAGCTGCTAAAAAACGGCTGTCTACTAACCCATTATCAGGTGTGTGCTTGGCCTCTGCAGTCTTCTTTGGCTGCTGCGTGTATTGTAGGTAAAGAGTACAGATGGTTTGTTAGGATTCGTCACACATAAGCATGGATTAATCCTTAAATTATGTTGGCAGAGGTTCCATGATTTCAAGTTTCAACCCTTAAAACCTATAGTTTTGGGCCTGTTTAAGTAATGCATAATGGGTTCTTTTCTTACAGTGAGGATAATATCTATCTTGTTAACCTATATTGGATGTCTTGATAATATAGTACATGTGAGCTAAGTTTCTCTTCCGAAGTTCAATTTGGGTGATAAGAGAGTTTTAATTTGTTTCTGACAAAGATAATCGATTGTTAAAGATTGATCCTAACATATCTATCTTGTGCTTTTGCAAATTTCAAATTTGATTGCTTTTAGATGCTCTATCTTTTATGACGGTGACATATCTTTGAACGACATCATGTGTAGCAGCATTAAGTACTTTGTTAAAAAGCATCCCATTCCAAGAGATATAAATATTATTGATATAAATATTATTGTGACTTAGTTTATAATTAAATTTTAGCACACAGTCAAATAAGTATCCGCCCAAAATCTCTAAAGCATCACTTTCTAACAGGATTACAAATTGGCATATGAAGCTTTCTGTACAGCTGTACTGTTTCATTTTGCAAACTGTACCAGGCTCTTGTGGGATTTGAAACATCAGCTCATCCATTTAGAGGATGAACAATGGTTCATAACTCTCTGAAGGGTCTCTTTCTATCTCTACCACTCTCTATTATAGATACTCTCATGACCCAATAATGGAAATGTCTCTCCATGGAGATCCACCCAAGTGTAAACCAAAAAAAAGTATAGACATGTCAGACAATGAGAGATAGAGCTGGCTGTCCAGAAAGAGTCTCTCCTTGGAGAGCCACCTATGATACACACAAGAGCACACTGTTCTGATAGAGCACTAGAGCTCTCCTTGTTCCCTCTTTTTGGAGAGACAATTGGAGAGCTCCTACGAAATATCCATTGCACATACTCTTAGCATATCCACCTGACCCATTATCCTTTCTATTTTTTATATTTTGAATTGTCTGAACCTGCCTAAATTTTGGGCTGGACTGGGATATTCTTGTTGGATGATCCTTGCTTATTAATGTGGCTGATTAATTGCATTAGCAGGAAGAAAATAAAAGGCTTCATTCCGGAAATCTATAAAGAAGTTGAAGTTGTGGATATTATGTGCTTTTTTTATCCTATATTTTACTTTTCCGCTTTTGGATCATCTCCGTTACTGTCTGGTTTAAAAATAGTATACCTTGACAATGTGAAACAAAGTATACCACCAGCAATCTGGTTTATGTCTTGTCGTTGAAGGTTTTCCGTAGGAACACTCATTTTGACCCTTAACCTATACAGAGTAGTCAAGTACGTTTATGGAACAGGGGCTAGTCCTCGTGTGATTCAATAAATAACAGGCCAATTAAAATCACTTGAATTATAGTTGTCTTGTTGGAGGGTTATCTACAACTTGGAATGCAGCCTAGATTATGCAATGACTGCATTGGCATTGGCAGTCTTGTTTTCTGTTACTATCGTAATTGCTAGGATCTTGTTAAATCTCCTTCTCCATGTGATCTGAAGTTAAGTGTCAACCAAAATATGTAATTCATACTTTTGAATTGCAATAAAAAATATATTTTAGAAACAATGCTATTGGCATGTTTTCTCCTTATCCTGTTTAAGTGCTGCAAGAATGAAGACATGCTTTCTCTAACAATTCCCTTGATTCAAGTTGTATTTGCAATATGGAATGATTTGACTTCAGACTAATTTGATCATTACAACAGTTTCCTTTGGGGATGCTTTCAACTGATGATGGAGATTTCTCAGCAAGTAGTATTTACAGTAGTCAAGCTCAATCTTTAGATGTTTCAGAGAAAAGAAAGTACTTGACTCATCATCCTTCACCAATCTGCTTTGAGAAACATTACAGGGATTACATCATAGCTTCACTTCCTCAGCTGCAGGTTCTAGATAATTTGCCTGTAAATGATACTGACAAAGAAAGTGCAAAGTTTAGAATTTTGAAATGTTTTGAGTACTTGCCTTACAGAAGAAAGAAAAAAGAAAGTGTTGTTAGCATCTTAAAATATCGTGAAACCAATGGTAGCCAGACTTCTTCGCGTAAACAAAAGACATCCTGTTTGCATGTGAGGTCTCCTCAATATCATTGTAGATCTCTTGGTGCTGCTAGAGTGGGTGCTTCTGCATGGCCTTCGTTGCATCCTCTTTCAACTTCTGGTTGTGTTTTTGGGGATGAAAATAAAAGTTTCCGGCCCAGGCAATTCGAGTACCATCCATCTGATGCTGGCTTAATGGCCTTTGGAACTCTTGACGGTGAAGTTGTTGTTGTGAATCATGAGAATGCTAAGATCTTTAGTTACATACCATCTTTGGGAGCAATGAATAGCGTTTTAGGCCTTTGTTGGCTCAAGAAGTACCCCTCAAAGGTATATAATTTTGGTAGAAAAAGTGCACTATCTTAATTTTTATTAGATGTATAAATTTTTTTTCTTCTTTATGTTCTTCTTATATCTATATTCATGACTTGCACTTGCTTGCTTCACTTCACTTATTCATACTGTTGGTGTTCATTGTGCACTCTCTTAAACTTTTTTCTTAAAAGTAAACACTGTAATTTACAGTAAATATTTTCATGGATAATAGATCTTACCTCATGGTACTTTAGTGTTTTCCCTTCTTTTCTGCAGGACTATGATAGATATACACCCTGGTATTTTATTATCTGGATAACACTGAGTATAGTGAAGAATGTCTGTCCATGCCTATGCAGTTGCTTTATCTTTTCTTTGCTTATACTTCATGCTATGATCATTCTTGTAGGGAAAATGCTGATGAAAGTCTGCTCTCTCTCTCTCAGAAATCATCCTAGCTCCAAGAACATACTCCCATTTTTGTTTATAAGTAAAAAGAAAATAATTCTGTAGATAATATATTATACACGTATATTTTACTTATTAGAAGAAATCTTTTATGTGCTCCTTTAAGATAATACCTGTCCCTTGTAATACAGTAAACCCCTTTGTCCTATTCTTTGGCTGTGTTGCTATGTTATAAAAAGTTGATGCTGCAAACTTGTAATAGAATAGCCTAGGGTGAGGGGTACTATTAGTATGAAAATTTTAGTTGATTTAAGATTAGCTTGAAAAGGAAGTCAGCGAGTTTGTTAGAGGGTGAGAGAGGGAAGGGAGCCAGAAGGTGCCTATGTATAGAGGATTTCAGTAGGAGGTAAATTGTGCAGAAAATTGCTTGGTGTTTATTTTACATTGCTATAATTTTTAGTGGGAGTGGCCAGCCACTCAAAGGTCTGGGATTGTAGCCAATATGTGTTGATTTAATTACATCAAATTACAATCAACTATCAATTTCCTCAAAATGCTCTGCTTCTTGATTTTTATTTTCCGATTCTCCCATCTATAACAATATAATTGCATTAACATTAAGGTATCATGTATTTTCATATTAGTGCACTATCTTCTGCTGTGCTCTTAATTACATGAATATTTTTAACCTTAGTTGGTATCTGATCTGTTTCTTAATCAGCTCATTGCGGGGTCTGATAATGGTTCATTGAGATTGTATGATGTCCAACATTGGCAAGCAGCAGTTACAGGAAGAAATTTCAATGCCAATGGCTTTGCCTTCGATGACTTTGATCAACTTACTTCTGTTCATGTCAACGCAACTGATGATTTATTTATTGCCAGTGGATATTCAAAAAATGTTGCCTTGTACGACATCAACACTGGAAAATGCTTGAATATGTTTAGTGATATGCATCAACAGCATATTAATGTTGTAAAGTTCTCTAATCATTCTCCATCTGTGTTTGCTACTTCATCCTTTGATCGAGATGTCAAAATGTGGGATCTAAGGCAAGGGCCATCTCAGCCTTGTTTTAAAGCAACAAGCGGCCACGGAAATGTGATGGTCTGTTTTTCGCCAGATGACCTTTATCTTCTTGTATCAGCTGTCGACAATGAGGTAATTCAAAGGGTCCTGTTATTTTACATTCTACAGCCAAGTTTTCAATTCGTATATGATGCTGCACCATCTTTGTCGGCTTTTATTCGTTGGGGTGGTGGTGGTGGGAGATTACTTTTGGGCATCTTGTCGCCTCTGCATTATTGACTACTTAGATCACTAAGATTACTAGAAATGATAATTGTCATTTTGCTTCCAACTATTCTTGTTACTTAGGCTCCCTTTGCTAATCCTGTTATAAATAGATACATAAAATACTAAGAAACTGATGCCCCCTATCCAAATTATACTCTGTAGTCTGTACAATACTTGAATATCTCTACCAAAAATGCTCCAAACATTTGCTTTGATGATTCATGAGCTGATGACTATGTGTCTATGTTACATCTCTTAAAGTTAAAATTGATAAGCTTCAGCTTGTATCCTTATATAATTATGATTTTCATAATGATAATTTGTATGTCCAGGTTAAGCAGCTTTCAGCAATAGATGGAAGGCTCCTGTTGGATTTTGATATAGCTTCAACAGGAAGCTCTCAAAATTATACTCGTTCATATTACTTGAATGGAAGGGACTATATTATAAGTGGGAGCTGTGATGAGAACGTTGTTCGTATTTGCTGCGCTCAAACAGGACGAAGGCTTCGTGACATATCTTTGGAGGTAAGAGTTCTTAAGTCATCTCTCTCTCTCTCATGCTGTTTCAAAACTGGAAAGCTATACATGTGATATTTGAATCTACCTTGAAATATAGATTAGGACAATCACTTGTCATCGTTGTGTTACATATTCATACTACCAATCTTCTCATATTAGAAGAAAACTTTCTGAAATAATTCCCCTGGGTTGTGTTCTTTTCGCCTTTAAATGGTAAGTTTTAGGGAAAAATAAGTTCAGATTGGTGGCAGTTAAGTTTACATAAGGGATCCAGTTTCCTTATACAACTGATTATAGTTTGAGATATGTTCAAGTTCCAATGTTCCTGCAAGTTCAGATAAGGGAAGTTAAAATGGACAGAGCGAAGTTTAATATTAAATTATGCTTTAAGTTATAAATTCATGGCATTAATATTGGCCAAGTATAAAACTATGTCTAATTTTTAGTAGTTAAAGAATGTTTAGTTTTTTTATTTCAATTGGCAGTTAAATTGAAATTAGACGTAGTTTTATCCCCATAAAGACTATCTTATGTTCATCTACTTGATTCTTTTGCGCTTTACTTATTTATTTATTTTATATGCGTTGATACTGTTGGGTGAGCTTAATTTAGTAGTTAAAGAATGTTTGTTAGTGTTTACTGAACACCTTTATAAAGCTCATAGGAAGCATTCTAATCTTGCAGAAACAGTGAGAGATGGCTTCTTTCTTTATTTATATATGTTAATAAAAAGGTTTTTTTTTAAAAATATTTTTTACGTTCTTACAGGGTAGGGGATCAGGTGCTTCAATGTTTGTGCAGTCCTTGAGAGGCGATCCTTTTAGAGTAAGTCTTCTATATGCAATGGGCAGAAATTTTGCTAACTTTTCTACAAATATAAAGTAAACAGTTATTCTTTTTAGTTTCTTTGATGCTGAATAAAATATTTTATTGCCTTGAAGATCGGTATAGTTAAACTATCACATGACCATGACTAGTATATTTATCAACAAAATGTGTCTTTTCACCATCTCAATGAAAAGGCGTGTTACTACTGCTTAGTAGAATAATATTTAGTTTTTAGATTGAAGAGTATTGTTTTTATTTTATGAATCTGATGTGAGGCCTTTGAGTTGGTACCAAAATCCTATTTGGATAACAATTTGATTGGGCTGCAGAAGGGGGAGGGGGAAGAATTATAAGGATATGTCTTTCATCCTTCATAAATGAAATCTTTCAAAATTTGAGAAGACGAGGAAGGAAAATTAAGCCTTTTCAATTAGCACATGTATTACTGACGACTGATGTGATGGAGATGGGCAGGAAGCAGGCCACAATGGCTTTATGGAACAACATATGTTTTAGTAATATTAGTGTTTTGCTTATTGGAAATATGCCATAAGCAATTGAACTATATCTCAGATTGATGGTGGCCCATTTGGCATACACCTTTTTGTGGATCAAGTCTAGCAAGCCACACATTTATAGTTGTAGCCTTGATACTTTTTCCGCTCGTGTGATTTTTTATATTACAAAATTTCCTTTTGGAAGGGAAGTTGTAGCCTGTGGAATTTACTTATTCCCAAGACAAGAATTTTTGGTTGGTTGATACTTTTATTTTCATCACTTGTCATTCTTTATGTCGCCATTAAAAAAAAAGCCTTTCATTAGTTAAAAATCTTATTTAGAAGGTCGATGGGTGGAAGATTTTGTGTATGAAGCTTTAAAGTTTGGATACCCTTAGGTCCTCAGCTACTGTAACAGTATACAGGTAAATTATTTTCATTCTCTTCCATTGTTTCTGTCTCTCACCAGTTTTGCTCTCCCCTGTTTCTGTTGAAATTCTATGGGCTTACCTCTTCTTGGATGTATCTCTTTCTCTTTTCTGTTTTACTAAATCACTATGCTCAAAAGGATATTTAGTTGGACAGTTTTAAAATTAGGGGGATGCATAAGTCTCTAATTCGCATATTGAAGACTAATGGTTTAAACTTGAAAATCTTGTTTTGATTCATTTTTGCCCTTCTTGCATGAAATATGCAGGATTTGGTTTTCATCAAAGCTGTGGTAGCTTTTAGTTTTTATTCTTGAGAGCTTTTTATTGCCCAAAATATGATGCCATGAAGGCCGAGCATTCACGAAGGAACCACGATCATATTTTTAGATATGAAATTATAGTAACTATAAATTACTACCTCCGTTTTGCTTAGTCATAAGCTACACAAACTAAGAAAAATGAAAAATGGGTACCATACATATGGGTACTTTTGTATTAAAGTGGAGAGAGATAGAGAGTAGGACATTTATTAAATAAAATTGGGCTCCACAAAGTGGGTTATGGATGATAAAAAATGAATAAAAAGTCGTCATAAAAGGAATGAAGTAAAAGTGAGTAAAACTTAGAAAAACGGATGAAAACGGAAAGTGAGTAAGTCTTAGGAAATTGGAGGTAATATACTAGTATCTTTTGTGAATTGCTTATTATACCCTGGCTGTTTTAACCTTGGTGAACTAGTGACGCTAAGAGCTGCTCCATACAAACTGGGTTTATACTATAGAGTTCTAGCAGATTCTAGATAAAATGAACTTGTTGAGTCAAAAATCAGGAGTTTACAAGTCATGCTGCATTTGGCTTGTATTATCAGCATCTCATAAATCTTGTTGCATTGATGTACTTCTGTTGTTTATCAGCCCATTGGTGTACAAAACCAACCCTACATGGCTGTGCTGGTTTGACTATAATTCTAATCGTATTCGTTATTGTGTTAGGACTTTAATATGAGCATTTTAGCAGCCTATATGCGTCCAAGCTCGAATTCTGAAATCATCAAGGTGAATTTCTGCCTCTTCTCTGCGTATATTGATCGTCTTACATACCACCAACATTTTCCGAGCTGCTGTTTTGATTTTCAGGTGAACTTGCTGGCATCAAGTGACAGCAGCTCTGACCCCTCGGATGATGAGACTTATCTTCCATCCTTTGGTATGGGAGGCTGATGTATCATGTATGTTCCTCCATGTCACTTCTTGTAATATCATCTCTGTTTATATAAATTGTAATGTTAAATAGCTGATTTTAGAATAATTAAAGCATCACCAGGTATATCTATGTACATATTAAAGTTATCTAAGCTCCTGTCTTAAATTATAATTGCTTTCAGAATTTCAGGTCTTATTCTAACCGTCTGAAACTGCCAAATTGAGCACGTTGGACTTTTAAAAACGCCAAAATTGGTTCCTAATATACACCAAATAAACTGCATCCCCCATCTTAGCATTAGTATCATCCTAGTAGAAAAAATACAGCTGAAGGATGATCACTTTTGCTCTGAAAGAATAAAGAGCAGCAACAGTAATACGAAATATTATGTTACTGTTTTTACAGATTTACGAAGTATTATGATTTAGGAAAAGAAATAAAAATATAAATTTAAACTACAGTTTATGTTTACAAGAAAATATTTTCTAGGAGAATTATTTTTATTTAGTTTGAGAGGAGAGGGGAGGGGAGGGGAGGAATAAATTTTGCAAAAGGCGGATATAGCTCTTTTAAGTGGAGAAATCGAGAAAGCCTTAGTTTATCTCTTTGACAAACAAATTTTGTTTATCAAGTCAAATGGTAAAAATGTAAATAAATCAACAATTTTGTCTAGTCAGAATGACATATTTGTATATAAATCAACAACCATGGGGCTTATTTTAATTAAAAGTTGTTGATTTATTTACAGTTCTGTCATTTGATAAACGTATTTTGTTTATCAAGAAGATAAACTTGTATTTACACAACCGTGGGGCTTATTTTCTTGGACAAATAATTTTCATCTTGTAAGGAGGGTATTACATATTTACATGTTTTTCACTCTACTCTTCAACCTCTTGTTTTCTCTTCTCCCATCCATCTTATCCCTTCCGTTTTCTCTCACTCTACTCTTTTATTCGTAACTTTTCTTGTAAGATAACAAAATAAAGAAAAATTATTTTACAATTGTGTTTTCTTGAAAGTATTTTTAGGAATTTCCAGGTTTTCACATCCTCAACAAAAGATGCCCCCCTTCTTTAAGCAGCAGCTTTGGGTGGTCTGCCGTTCTCAAGGTGGATCTCACGGTCTTGCTACGACAGCGAACTCTTGTTTATCCTCTTTTAATTTTGTCTATTAGTTTCCTATTCTGTGTAAACTCTTGTAAAAAAAAAAAAAAAAAAAAAAGGAAAAACAAAAGATGCCCCCCCCACCTCCACACCCTCTCAGCTTGTCTTCGGTTCTCCAGCTTTCCTTCTTCCATTCGATACTTGCGTTTTCCCCACTTCTTTCTCTTCCCTTTTTTCTCTCCTCTGAAGTTACAAAATTACGCTCCCCTTTTTATCACCACCTTCACCATCTTCAACCCCCTAAACATTCTTCTCTCTCTACTCCTCTGCAACTTTCCTCTCTAATGTCAAATCCTCGCCCCACCCATCATCCTACTCCCACCGCCAGCCCATTACGCCATTGCACTCCATGACTACCCCATCCTAACTCGCCTACTCTCCTCTATCCACTTGTGAGGCTATGAACCATGAATATTCTAGTATTGCCACTAAGGTAAATTTGGCACACTACTAGAAAACAGCCGTTTTTCGAAGGATAAAATCTGTCGGAATCATTTGAAATTCCGTCGGAAATCATCTTTCCGTCGGAATGGTCTGTTGCGAAACATTTTGTAGGAAATTCGACTTTTTCCGAGGGATTTTCAGTCGAAAAGACGGAATTAGATCTGTCGGCGCATGGATTGACTTATTGAAAATCCGTCGCAATATTCCGACGAAATTAATTCCGTTGGTATATACCTCTTCCGACGGAATAATCCATCGTAATCAAATACATTTCCGACGGAAATATTTCGTCGTAAGGTCTGTATTTTTCGAGGGATTTAATTTCCATCGGAATCTTACGATGCATTTTTTTTCGTCGCAAAGTTCTGACGGATTTATTTTTCCTCGGAAAATATATGATTGCCGACGGAAATTGTCCATATGAAAATCTGTCGCCATATTCCGAAGGATTATTTTTCCGTCGCAACAAACTTGCTTCCGACGGATAATACCATTAGAAATTCTGTCGGAATTTCACCTGCTAATTTAACAAATCAATCGATTTTTTTTGGAATTACGACCATTCGAAACCTATACCTCCGGCACCTAATTTAAGATAAAATTAAAATATATATATATATATATATATATATATATATATATATATATATATATATATATATATATTGTACGCAGGCATAAAACATAATCCTAATTAAGTACATGTACATACTACATAAACAAAAGCTAAGCTATAGCCGGGGTACCCTGCGTGCTCCGCTACTACCCTGGTCGTCCCCGGGGTCTCGACTCTGTGTTGAATGGTGGAACATGTGTCGCTGGGGAAACGACGTATAAACTCATCCCACTTCTCCTGGTTTCTCCTCTCTATTGCGGCCATTTGGGCTTGAAAACGGGCTTCCATTTCGACTTCCAATTCACTCCGAATTTCACTGCAAAGAGCCTGCAACCTATGCTCCATCATCTGAGAAACAACGGAAGGCGTGTACTGCTGTGAAGACGTGGAAACTCGACCCATTTGGTTGCCATAGTACAGCTCTGCACTTTGGCCAAGTCCTTCACACGACCCTTCTTGTTGCGACCACCCACAGTCTCCCAATACAACTTATTTGGACTCTTCCGAATCCCTTGAGTGCTTGCTTCTTCAACCTTCTTCTGGTAGGCCTCCTACAAGATATACATATGAAAAGGAGCAACTTACTTAGTTTAAGGAAGCATTTCCAACAAAATAGAACCAAGTAAGGCCTAATTGACTTCTACTTTGCCCATTTTCTTCATTTCTTATCAAATGAACTATTTCTTCCTCATAACATGTCAATAATAGGTAGTTTTAGGTGTATAGGGCTTGAAATCACAAAAAAAAAACTAATTAACTAAGTTTTAAGAACCATTTTCATCCAAATATGGCCTAAGTGACTTCTACTTTGCCCATTTTCTTCATTTCTTACCAAATGAACTCTTTCGTTCTCATAACATGTTAATAATAGGTAATTTTAGGTGTATAGGGCTTGAAATCACAAAAAAAAAAAAAAAAAACCAATTAACTAAGTTTTAAGAACCATTTTCATCCAAATATGGCCTAAGTGAATTCTACTTTACCCATTTTCTTCATTTCTTACCAAATGAACTCTTTCATTCTCATAACATGTCAATAATAGGTAGTTTTAGGTGTATAGGGTTTGAAATCACAAAAAAAAAAAAAAAAAAAAAAAAAAACCAATTAACTAAGTTGTAAGAACCATTTTCATCCAAATTCATCCAAATATGGCCTAAATTACTTCTACTTTGCCCCATTTTCATGAAATCAATCAAATAAGTTTAGATTTTAAGTTATATTGCTGTCCACAAGTGTGTCTTCAGAAAAAGCTCCTGGTGGTAACTGGCCTTGATTTTTCGCCGCCTTTGATTATACATGCAGAAAATCATCGTTATAAATGTCACACTACCATTACATAGTAATACACAAATGCCTTCTATTTTATATGTTTATTAAACAAACTTACCATCTTTTTTGCATGTTGTATAGCTGACATAATACCCTTTTAGTGGGTTGGTTCAACCACATTTTTTCGGGAACCGCCCCTTCTGTTCTTCCTATTTTGGGCCGATCGCTTCTTATACGTCGGATCTGTGGCAACAATATCCATCATCTTCTTGTGGACTTCCTCATTGAGCCAGCCTGGCTTGGCGCCATTCATCTTGTGTGTGACTGTGTAGAACATGTCACGTAGGCGAGTTGCAAACTTTCTTTCAAAAGTTTGCTTCACATGCTCGTTCAATTGAGGTGCCCATGTGAATTGTTTCTGCGAATGATAAACTTTAAAAGTCATAAACTCAACTTCACTAATACACTTAATAAAACATGTATTAACTAAGTTAAAAATAGCACTTAATAAAACATGTATTAACTAAGTTAAAAATAGCATACGCTGAACAAGTTCTACCAGTGTTGTTTCGTTCCTTCATCAACCTATCCATAATTTCTCCAAGGGTCTCGATAGTATCCAGTTAGCGTACCGGAGACCACAGTCCTCACTTTGTTATCATCAAACCTACATTAAACGAGTAACAACAATGTTAGATGATCATCAACAAAAAGTAATATAGAACTTGTTAGTAGTAATAAATAGGTTAATTTTTCGAAAATAAGAATATAAGTCCAATTCATTAAATGTACCTACGTACCAGAGCGTAGTAGGGTCTAATACCGGCAACTCTGAATGCTGTTGTGTCTGAATTTGTGGTTGGGTGAAGGCGGGCTCCTGAGTGGCACCCAAATCATGTGCCTCCGCTTCCTCCATTTCTTCGTTATCGTAGTCGATCACCATTTGAGCTTTCTCGTTCCCCTTTGTTTTCTTCGACGATTCTACTTCTATGTAGGACAATCAAACCAAGTGAATCTACAAATCCTACAAAGAAGGAGAATCGTCGAAGAAAATAAAGGGGAATGGGAAAGCTCAAATTGTGATCGATTACGATGACGAAGAAATGGAGGAAGCGGAGGCACATGATTTGGGTGCCACTCAGGAGCCTGCCTTTACCCAACCACAAAATCAGACACAACAACATTCAGAGTTGCCGATATTAGACCCTACTACGCTCTGGTACGTAGGTACATTTAATGAATTGAACTTATATTCTTATTTTCGAAAAATTAACCTATTTATTACTACTAACAAGTTCTATATTGCTTTTTGTTGATGATCATCTAACATTGTTGTTACTCGTTTAATGTAGGTTTGATGATAACAAGGTGAGGACTGTGGTCTCCGGTACGCTAACTAGATACTATCGAGACCCTTGGAGAAATTATGGAGAGGTTGATGAAGGAACGAAACAACACTGGTGGAACTTGTTCAGCGTATGCTATTTTAAACTTAATTAATACATGTTTTATTAAGTGCTATTTTTAACTTAGTTAATACATGTTTTATTAAGTGTATTGATGAAGTTGAGTTTATGACTTTTATGTATATCTTGTAGGAGGCCTACCAGAAGAAGGTTGAAGAAGCAAGCACTCAAGGGATTCGGAAGAGTCCGAATGAGTTGTATTGGGAGGCTGTGGGTGGTCGCAACAAGAAGTGTCGTGTGAAGGACTTGGCCAAAGTGCAGAGCTGTACTATGGCAACCAAATGGGTCGAGTTTCCACGTCTTCACAGCAGTACACGCCTTCCGTTGTTTCTCAGATACAGGATCAGATGGAGCATAGGGTGCAGGCTCTTTGCAGTGAAATTCGGAGTGAATTGGAAGTCGAAATGGAAGCCTGATTTCAAGCCCAAATGGCCGCAATAGAGAGGAGAAACCAGGAGAAGTGGGATGAGTTTATGTGTCGTTTCTCCAGCGACACATGTTCCACCATTCAATCTCAGAGTCGAGACCCCAAGGATGACCGGGTAGTAGCGGAGCACGCAGGGTACCCCGGCTATAGCTTAGCTTAGCTTTTGTTTATGTAGTATGTACATGTACTTAATTTGGATTATGTTTTATGCCTGCGTACAACCTATATATATATATATATTTCCTAATTAAATCATTAATTTAATTTTATACTAAATTAGGTGCCGGAGGTATAGGTTTCGAATGGTGGTAATTCCAAAAATAATCGATTAATTTGTTATTTTAGCAGGTGAATTTCTGATGGTATTATCCGTCGGAAGCAGGTTTGTTGTGACGGAAAAACAACCCGTCGGAATATGGCTACAGATTTTCATATGGACAATTTCGTCGGCAATCATATATTTTTCGAGGTAAAGTAAATCCGTCGGAACTTTGCGACGGAAAATGCATCGTAAGATTCCGACGGAAATTTAAACCCTCGAAAAATACAGACCTTACGACAGAATATTTCCGTCGGAAGAGGTATATATACCGACTGAATTAATTTCATCCGAATATTGCGACGGATTCTCAATTTGTAAATCCATGCGCTGGCATACCTAATGCCGTCGGAATATGTGTTTCCGAATGAAAATCTCTCGAAAAAAGTCGAATTTCCTACAAAATATTTCGCGACAGACCATTCCGACGGAAAGATGATTTCCAACGGAATTTCAAATGATTCAGACGGGTTTTATCTGTCGAAAAACGGTTGTTTTCTTGTAGTGTATGGTAGTATGGTCAGCACGGAATAACGGTGTGTTTAGAGTAAGATTAACTACGACTGGTAATGTCCATGGTTTAGTCTTAGAAGGGATCAGCCAACGAAGCATTTTCTCAAATGGTGATCAGGATAATCATGAGAATAATCTACATTGTTTACATCCTCCGGAGGGAGAATAGGATAGTAGTGATCAGGGTAATCGACATTGTTTACACCTTCTAGAAGGAGATTGGGAACATCCATGGGGGTTTCTTTAAGCTATCCTACAAAATGGGCTTACGTGAGTACACTAGTGATTGTCCTTGTTGATGGCTCTTGTAATACAATGACGATAAGGGCAGGCATGTGATGGTGTCCGGAAATTCTGCCTCCATCTTTCTTTAGATAATAACACTTTCGGTGGTGGTTCCTCGGTGTTAGCAGTTTTGGCTTTATAAACAGAGATAAATGCATGTATCAATGGGTTGTTCAGAAACTGATGCAATCAGTAACCATTCTAGCAAACTCGACAAATCTGGTACTTGTACTTCAGTAACCATTTGCATGTTTACGTTTTTAATACGCAAAACGAGACTTTTTTTTTTGTGTTTTTAATTCTGAGTTCAATTTGGAACCTTAAGGATCAAAGTAGCCCCTAAAGCCTTTAACGGAACATTTTTCAACATGCAAATCAATAAAAAAGAAAAAAAATTAATAAGTGGAGAGTAGGCCCCACTAACGGAATTTGTTAACGGTGGGATAACGACAAGGTTACTATGTACTTAATACACATATGTGCGGGTTACAATGTGAAAAGTGCTATTTGAAGGAACACGATGTAGAAAAGTGAAATAAGGAGGGTTATTGTGTAGAAAAACCATTAAATTTTAAATCACCATTAAAGCAACTAAGCAAAGGGCCAATAATACCGTATGAAGAAAATATTATCATAACAATTTTTATACAGCAAGGAGAATTGCCCTACCTAGCCAAACTCCTCGTTCCCTAACCTGGCTTGGGTTAGTGGGTTAGGCACGTAGAGAGTGGGGATGATGGGTAAGAAATCCTTACCGCCAAAGTGTCCCTAATGGGGATTGAACCCTCCATCAAAGTTAGTAGTCTTAGAATGCGATTTTTACCATTTGGCTCAGCTTAACTTGGTGTATTATCATAGCCATTGACATTTTGTCATTAATCCTGTCACATCAAAACGTGAGACTTTTCATCATTCACCAGTAATCCTTAAAGAGCAAATGCAAATTCGATGTAGCTCCTGTAAAAGATATCTTCCAATCTTCCATACAGTCCAGAAACTACTACGTGAATTTTCAAAAGTTTTCCGTGTTCATATTCACCTTTAATTTTAGATGCTTTTTCACGAGAATTCCTTGAGATTATCATATTTGTAATTTAACTTTTGTGTAGTAGTGGCCAACTCATATTTTCATTACATAGAAGTCGCTGGAATAGATGTCATTTGCTATCATACTCTTTCGTTGGATTGACTTTAGCTCTATAAGGGGTCATAAAACTAATGGCTTGTTTGGTTGTCGGCTATGAATTATGGTAATGGTGATAGGTCTTGCTGGTCAAATCGGATGTGTAATTTGAGATGTTTAGTATTCAAAAATTTCGGATCGTTTACAATTAGGTGTGAAATTTTCAAATACGGATAAATCAAATAATCTTTAGTCCAAATATTTTAAAATGCAATTCAAATTCGATCCCCAAAAAGTTCAAGTATTTGATCCAAAATATTGAATGTAGAAAACTTTATTGCATACTTCGTATTTGGTTTCCTAGATTGTATTGGCTCGATTTTTTCAAATAAGATTCATATTGCCTTGTTAAAATATTGAAGTGCTGCAAGTTCATGAACTAATTTACTATGTATATACTAGTATTTACTACGACGATAACAAAATTTGCCTGCTCTTTGTCAACTATAAAATATACAGAGTAGTAAATACTTTGCTTTTACTTGGATATTGTGTAAAAATAAACTTCAATGACTCCCTACCACACTAGAAATTAAACGAAAAGTCATACCAATAGTATCAATCTTTTAGGAGCGCTAATGATAGATGTTGTTTAGTTGGATTCTATGAGCAACTTAGTTGAGTTTATATTTATTGTATGACAATGTATCTACAGGCCATACACTTGGAAGTTGAGGGGAGTGGGAGTGGTAATGGTATCAGGGATTCAACCTTTAAACACCTTCACCTAGTATAATTCAATTCAAACCCCAAATCCAAAGTACGAGTTTTATCAAGTGAATCAAATCTTAATTACAAGTATTTTAAATTGGAGTAGATGATAAAGAACATAATTATATCCTAGTGTAGATTAAAGCGTACCAATCTATGGGTTCACTCAGTCTATGCATAAAACCAAAAAAAAAAAAAAAAAAAAAAATTTGCATACCAATCTATGCGTTATACGAAGTAGTTCATAAACTATGGTTCATGAATTTACTAGAAAACACCTCACGCATATGAACCTTGGACAAACTCTTCCCTACTTTTTTCATGCATTGTCTCGCACTCTATTATCACCCCCTCACTATATAATAGGGTCACTTATACTTGAGCTTATAGCCTTTTATCCACACTATAAGCCAAACAAGCTAATTAAACCAGAGTTTACTTTTTTTGTTATTTAGTTTCCCACATAATAATAGAACTTTGAAATTAAGGTTTTGTAAATGAGGCTTTTGTATGTGACCGTGATTCTTATCTCCCTCATTATGGCTTCCATTTTAGTGGAACCTATCCATGCTCAATCAGGTATACTTTATCTTTGTTCTCTACTTATTCTTGCTTCGTTGGTGTTTATGTTCATTATAGATTGGTTTATGATCGTGTTATTTTATTATTAGAAACTCTAAGCAAAATCCGTAGAGCAATGTCTTCTACAATGTTAGACGTGTCATTTTTAAACCTTTGAGCTCTAGGAATGATATGTCTTTGTAGGGATCAGAGAGTGGCCCCGTTTTTAAAGCTCATCCTGACTCGAATCTTGATTAGTTTTACATTAGTTGTATGTACTTCCACTAAATCTTATTGGTGAACTAATAATCTTTTATTAGTTGTTGTCTTGTTACTAATTAATATGAATCATTTAGCTTCACTAATTATCTCACACTATTCCTTTTATTCGTAAAATGATGGATTGAAGCTATGTGTGCAAGCAAGTGCAACGCAAGGTGCTCGAAAGCAGGAGTAAAAGATCGGTGTTTGAAGTATTGCAACATATGTTGTATGAAATGCAAGTGTGTTCCTTCTGGCACGTACGGTAACAAGCATGAGTGTCCTTGCTACAGAGACATGAAGAACAACAAGAACAAGCCCAAGTGCCCTTGAATTCGATGGGAGTCACTCAGTACGTGTCCTTATTATGGTTACGAGCCGAGGCTATAATTGTGTTCATGCTTTAACTAGTTGTGTGATGAGTTATATGTCTATGTGATGAGTTGTGGCTAAGTTGTTTTGGTCACTGAGTAAGATTGTAATTATGTATTCATATATGTTTACTACCAGTATGACACTACTAGTTCTGTATGTCTATGACATAATTTTGTTGCCATTGTATTGTTTGGAAATTACCAAAGATTATCTTAAGAAAAAAATAATTATTTATATAATTGGTTTGTGTAATATAAAGTTATTAGACATTTACATCTACTAGTGAGCTAAGGAGTCAAGTAATTGCTTATTTACTCTTAATTCTTGCTCATAAGAAAAAAATAAATAAAAAAGACACTCTTAACTGTTCTGAACTACACCGTGTAGCTAGTTATAATTTATTTTTATTTAAAAAAAAAAAAAAAAAAATTAAACTTCGGTATTATTTTAAAATTTCTCAATCTTTCCTCTTTTCTTCTTCTCCAAGCCAAACCAACCGTAATATTGTAACATTTCTCAATCTTTCTCTTTATCTTTGCAACAAATACCCACTTGAATTTTTGATGCATGTATGAATAGTCAAATTGGTAAGAAATTCTTGATTCTGACCTTTTTTATTGATTTAATTTTCTGGGTTTGAGGAGAATTTGACATTAGTGGTTGATTAATGGTTATGTGGGTATATGTTTCTTGCACGGCATTTGCTAAATTGAAGCTGATAATTGGTTCGATTCTGCTAACGTTCTGCCACCACTAATAGCTGCGCCGCTACTTCTTTCGCGGTGCCGACAGCTACGGCGTCCATTAATGGATTGATATTGGATCTCGGTTCGAGTAATCGGGGTTGCTGGAATTTCAATTTCTTTCTCTCTCTCCTGAATTACCAAGTTTCTTTCTCTTTTGGAAAGAAAACGAAGTACCAAGTCCTTGTAAATATTTGTTTTGGGTTACTTGGTCAGGTGTTATTAGGTCGGTCAGGAGTTATCCGGTTAGAGGTTATTAGGTCGGTCAGGGGTTACTAGGTTATAGGTTATTTGTGTGTTAGCTGACCTGGCCACACTGTATGGCCATACAAAACCTGCTGTCTAAACTAACCTTTCTTCTAAATAATGCTTATCTTTTATCCCTTAACTTTTTTTTTTTTTTTTTTTGAGTCAACTTTTATTCTTTAACTTAAACGCATCAACATTGTTAGTCTTACTTTTTTAAATGGTTTTTTCAACAAATATCCTCCAACTTTTTAAAGATTCACCAAATACTCTCTCGTATTTTTCAAAATTTATCAAATACCTCTCACTTTCCGTACTAGAACAAAATGCCCTATCACTTAATAGATGTCAATTCATATTGTGTTTTGCCTTTTAATTTAAATAATGTTGCTTTGTTGTTTACCTGTGGGTAATTTTTCCTTTAATCTGCTGCAATGTAGGAATTTTTGGCCACGGTCACCAACCATGTTCAATTCCTTATGCAAAGCCTAAATTTAATGTTTCAAGAGCTTTGTCAGGTAATTTTTTTACTGTATACATTAAATTTTACTATTTTCTTTTTTAGATATTTCAATTTTGATAGTCAAATTATTATTTGTTAATTGATAAGGTTTATGCGATTAGAACCTAGATGAATTTTTTTTTTTTTGAGGAAATAGAACCTAGATGATTTAATATGATCGGTTATGTTCCTTCTCATTGATTTATTTGATTCTTGATGATAGATTTGAGCTTATTACTTTGGCTTCTGCATTTAGGGTTTGTATACACTTTGGGTTTTAGTTAATTGCGATTGATTGAGCTTTAGTGAGAGTTTGGTTTATCTGTAATTTTTTTTAAAATTTTTTTTTATGTATGTATATCTATAAAAAAATTTGTCAGGGATTACGGTTGAAATGATGCAGCTATAAAGTAAATAATGTTGGTTTATGTTTCAGCTCAACTCTTATTCATTAAGGTTAGAGCTAGACGTTGCAAAGTAGTTTGCATGGTAAATTTGTATTGACTTTGGGCATAGGTTATTGATGTTCAATATATAAAATGATTTTTGGCTAATACGGATAGTTCTGCTTTTTGAACATTCATATTAGAATACTACATTGAAATTCATGTTAGTGAAACTGCCCTCTTTACGAAGGTGGAGGGTGATGGAAATAATGATCAAAGATCTAATATTACAACTACAGTTGGATTGGTTCATTAAACCCGTGAGTGATGTATAGACTTAATAAAATTAAGTTATTTATCTGTACTTCTTATTTTCTCACACATTTACCAATATTAAATTACTTTCATTATAGGTTAAATAGCTGAAGACAAGTTTATGTACTTGGATGCTTTTTGCTGATTTTTGTTCAATTTTTGCTAGTTACTAATAGCACTTTTTCTACATGTTTATATATATATATATATATATATATATATATATATATATATATATATATATATATATATATATATATATATATATATATATATATATATATATATATATTTGCAGGAGTATTTGGAAAGACTTGTAGCCTATAACGATGTAGAATTGGATGAGATTCGAGAACAATGGGCTAAGGTTTTTAGACTTATTATTTTTGTTGAAAGACTAGTTATCTTATTGATCGATGTTATAATTAATCGCATTAGCTTAATAAAACAATATAACACAATTCTATATTTCTACTTTTATTTAGCCTACTGGTTATTGTTATTATATTCCTAAATTATAAATTAATAATTTTTTTAATTCAAGTTTTAATTGTTTTGTTGAAAGTATATTCTTGTAGATGAATTCAAGTTGTGTGGAATTACTTGGAGTGTTTGATTGTATTGTATGTTGTGGGTGAATTCAAGTTATGTGGAATTATTTGGAGTACGTGTTTTGTTTGTTGAATTGTAATAGGTTTTATCCCATTTGACGATGGGTTGTTCGGTAGGATATACAACCAAGCTTGTTGTATTCGAATCAAATATTTATAAAGAAAAATATATATTTATAAAAAAAAAATATATATTTGTAACTGGCGTTAGGCTATGCCAGTTACAAATAATACCCTATTTGTAACTGGCGTAACTTAACGCCAGTTACGAATAGTATGCTTTCCAACTTGAAAAATAGACTATTTGTAACTGACGTTAGGTTAAGCCAGTTACGAATAGTACATTATTAGTAACTAACATTAGCCAGTTACAAATAATTTTCACTAGTTGTAACGATGACAATAGCAACCAACAATGCCAGTTACTAAAAGTCAATTTCGCCAGTTACAAATAGGAGTTTTTCTACTAGTGATTGACTATCACAAAACAATTTGATAGCCTTAGGATGATGAACACCTACACTTAATAATAAGCCTTTCAACCATTTTAATTCACACGTGATTGCAGCCATGGAACGGTACTCCGCTTCAGCGGAAGAACGAGAGACCGTATTTTGCTTCTTAGTTTTCCATGAAATAGGAGAATGTCATCTAAGAAAAACAAGCCAACCAGTCAAAGATTTCCGAGTGACCGGACATGCTGCCCAATCTGAGTCACACCAACCCTGTAAAGAAAGGTCAGTATCAACTCTTAAAAAAATACCCTTCCCGGGAGTACCTTTGAGATATCGTACAACCACGAGGCTCCTGCATGAATTGGGACAATATATAAACATAATAAGCAAGATCTGGTCGAGTAACTGCTAGATAAATCAGTCTACCCACAAGCCTCCTGTATGCCTCAAGATTAGAAAGAACATCATCATTTGCCAAACAAAGCTTATGGTTTTGTTCAACAGGAAAACTAATAGGTTTCGCACCAAGAAGACTTGTTTCATAAATGATATCCAGTGTATACTTTCTCAGACACAAAAATAAACCTGTAGAACTCCGAGCCACCTCTATACCAAGAAAATATTTCAAAGTGCCAAGATCTTTCATATGAAAACAGTCACTAAGATAGGCCTTGAAAGTGAAGAGCAGCGGAATCATTGCCAGAGATAATAAGATCGTCAACATAAACCAGAACATTCAATTGAATTTGACCCCTAGTGTATGTGAACAAGGAATAATCTGAATAGGATTGCAAAAAACCATATTCTTTCAAAGTAGATACAAGTTTCGCAAACCAACATCTAGGGGCTTGTTTAAGACCATATAGAGATTTCCGAAGACGCGTCGACATACCTTATTTGGGTAAGCAGACTCAAAACCCGGAGGAATTTTCATTTAGACCTCCTCATTTAGGTCCCCATGTAAGAAAGTATTGTGGACATCCATCTTATGTAACTCCCAATTTTAAGCCGCAATTACAAGAAAAGCCCGAAAACAAATTTCATATGCTTTATTTAAACTACCCTTACAATTATGAACTGAAGAAAGTAATTTCATTACTCTTTCCGACGAATGACCTATCCTTCTGCAACAATTCCAAAGTAGAGGATTCATTTGACACCGAAACATGCCTCACAGTCTCTGGTCCATCGAAATAGAATAGTCTATCCCGTTTAACACTCGTTCCAATCAGCTCCCTCGATCGGCCCTGTATAGTACACATAGAGAAGTAAAATTGGACAGTACATTGCGTATCATTAATTAATTGAGAAACCGAAATTAAATTGCAACTTAATTCCGGAACAAAAAGCACATTTTTAAGAGTCATTTTATCATTACAATCGAACCGAGCCCTCTTTAGTAGCCATAACCAATTTTCCATTAGGAAGACCAACCGGACAATAAGAGATTGAGTTAGTATCAAACAACCACTTATCAATGCAAGTGATATGTCTAGAGGCTCCCGTGTCGATAATCCATAAATTATCGTCAAACTTACCACTCAAGAGGTCATCAAGAACGGTTGTATTACCGATAAAGCCGGCTAAGGCCTTGCCATTAGAATTTGATCCACGACCATTGCTGGCCCGAGGTCGAGTGGCCCACCATTCTGGATACCCGTATAACTCGAAACAGGAGGACACCTTGTGCCCGTTCTTTTTACAGTGAGTGCAAGATGAAAGGAATGGTGTCCTTCCAACAAGTGTATTATTCCGATAGAGGGTTCGTAATTATTAGAAAGCTAATTCTTCAGTGAGGTCAAGTGATCGGAATGCCTAGGTGGAGGCCGCTTCCGATCAGTAATATTAATGCATAATTAATATTATGGCTTAATCTTGACTGAACCCTTCGGGTCGCACCCCTATTGAATAACCGATTCGAGATGACGAATCAATCCAAAGGATTAGATGAGTCATTAGAGTATTACGAACAAAGACGTCGAACATCGAGCTTAGAGCGTCGAAACCGAGCGTCGCAAGTCGAGTCGAGTTTAGAATTCGACGAGACGGGAAATCAAGCAAGCGACAAGTTCGAGCTAGGCCGTGGCCTCGCATTGACCTAGCCACGCGAGTGCTAGGCTAGCTTAAGCTACTATGCGCACCGTAAGCCTAGCATGCATTGCGTGCTAGGC